TCTACGACTTTCTATTCTTTATAACATTTAGTAACGTTTATCTTTCCTTCGTTTTGCAATCCATTCACACAAGCTTGTCAGCGAGGTGACCCACTGCTTTCCACTGACCTTTTACATTTCATATTTCCTGTGAATGTCTTATTCCATAAGCTCTCTTTCATGTCTCCGTAGCATTTCAGCTGTCAGATTTTGATTCTGAGTAGATGTGTCCTATTTGTTTTCATTTTCCTAAAAACTTGCTCGTTAGTTACGCATTCATCCCTGGTCCGATCATCATTCTTCTGTAGAAGTACATTTCTAGTGACTCCAGTTTACCTCTCATCTGTAATGAAATTGTTTAGGATTCCCTGCATTACGAGATGGCTGTTATTGCAAAGCAATTCAACACTATTTTCTTTATTTCTAACGAAGTTTTCCTGTTTCTAAGTATTTTATTTTTGGAAAGGCATCATTTGCTATTACTCTGAAGCATCGGGTTTTGATGTCACATTATAGATCGTCTGTTAAAACTATTCCCAGATATTTAAAATTATGCACTTGTTTGATTTTGGCATCTCCAAGGTTTAGTTTAAATCTGGACTTTTCTCTTGCTGCAAATCATACATCCTGTCTTCTTACAATTGACAGTTCTTTCTTCTCGCCTTCTTTTACTACTTTGTTTAAGAGGTCCTGTAATTTCCCTTCCGTGTCTGCCATATTACTTCTAACAAAAACAAAAGAATATTAAGCTAAAATAAAAACAATGACGTTTGGAAACTAAATTCCATTTGTTGTGGGAATAGCGATAGAGTACCGAGATACTTGCAAGATTTCGTCTGTGGGAAATGTGTTGTAGGGTGGAAAATATTTTATCACCCACAAAGTTGTGTAAACATGTTTGAACTCTGTTAAAGATAGAAAGTTAAGTTTGAACAACTCTAATCCAGATATGACAGCAAATGCACCATTTTTTGTGCGCTCAAACTTTTACTGATATATTGCTTTCTTTCCAAGAGTATTTGAGCGAAAGCAAATTTTACGGTTCGGGTGGAATTTGGACATGACAACGCAACCCAACTATCGCATTGATAACATTGAACATCCATAATTACTTAAGTTGTGAATATTTATTTTATTGAGGAAGAATGTTAGAGTGAATATATGAAGAATAAAAAAACAAGTCAATTTCTTTTTTCCCTCCGAAATAATAATAATAATGATAATGATAATAACTAGCAGCATTGCCCGTCCTTGATTCAAAAATCGTACGACTCATACAGCAATCGCTATCACTTGACTTAAAATATTTTTGCCCTTCCTTGCCTTTAAAGGAGTGCCCTTTGCCGTGCTGATGTTGCTACATGCCTTATTTCTTGCCTATCTCACACTGCGAATTTTTTCTAAGCTCTATACAAAACATTAAATCTGTTACGAAAAAATAACTAAACAAAATGAACACAAAACGATCAGCTTTAAAAAAGGACTCGTAACTGGAAAAACCGAATGTAAAAAGAATGTTAACACCAAATACTTTTTCACACCCAACCCAGTTCTGCGGAATCAGAATCAACGTTGAGTTTAAGCAAGCGAATGAGCCAATTGGAGTAAAGTGCCATGCAGTTTTAAATTTTTCCACTTGACGAATGCAGCTATCGATTTTTTTTTGCATGCTAGCATGCTAGTTAACATTTCGTGTCAGTCAGCTGTTGGCTCTCACGCTGGCCAATAGAATCTTCTTGCCTATTCGTGACAGCCATCTATTGGCTCTCACTCTGGCCAGTACAAAATGGCCGCAAACTACATGAAAACTGCCATAGAAGCATGAAAAAATCGATCATTTCCACTATCGATGGGAGTTGGGAAATGCAATGTCGGTATTGGCCTTCCCGCTACCTTGGTGCATGTGCATGTAAATTTTTGTGCAAATGCGTCGAAAATTGCGGCCGTGCATTCGTTACACACACACACACACACACACACACACACACACACACACATACAGAGGAGGAAACAGAGGGAAGGAACTTGCTGAGAGCTGAAAGGGAGAGAGGTGGTGGCGAGCCATGATCGCTAACGCCATGAAAGTACATGGGATATAAAAAGAAATAATCCATATCGCTCTTTATAACAAAATGTATCAAAATTCAAATATAATGTTTTAATGAAAATATTACAGAGCCCCCTTTCTGCCATTCTTCAGCATGGCTGATGCTAACCTCCCTGGGAATTAACATTTTCCGTAGACATGAAGTGGAATGATTCTATTGAATCCAATGCTAGGCCTGCTGCTCGGAATGTTGGTTTACTGTGTCGCGCTAGACAATTTTTCTTTCCAGAAATTATCTTTTATATTTACAAGTCTACCGTTCTTCAATGCTTTGTCTACTGCTGTCGCATATAAAATTCGGCTTTTTGCTATGTATTTAGGGGTTCTCAGTAAATTCCAAAGAA